AAAATTAATAATTACAAATGAAATATAGAAATTTTTATGACTATAAATTTAATCCATTTTCTTTTTAGACCTCTGCTACTTTTAGATTTATCTCTTCTCTCTCCTTATATCTAAAGTAATATCACTAGGTTTAAGGCTGTAATCTTTTATTTTATCACTGTTCATTTATTTGTTTATTTACTATTTTCTCTACCCCTTGTTCCAATATGTTCCATGAACCTGAGGTGTGGAGGTTGCTTGGACAATTCACAGGCAGTTTCTATGTATGACCAGTTGTAGAACTCTGTAATAATCTCTAGCTGTTGCAAAAGAAGCTTCTTTGATGAGTGGACATTGGGATACTTGTATATAAGGATTTGGTACTAGGTTTCACAAATGAGGGAGAACATGTGTCATTTGTTTCTGAGTCTGTGTTACTTCATATGAACCTACAGCAATGGTGTCAGCACACACAAGATCCATGAAAACTCAGGCAGACAAAAACATATCACAGAGCTGTGGAAATGTACCTCAGGCCCCAATCTTAGCCCAAGAACTACTGGCAGCTGATTATTATTCGTTGAGGAAATGCTAATCTTCTAAAAGGGAGGAACTCTAGTTAGGCGGACTAGACCTCAGTGGATGAACTTACACTGAGGGACAACTGAGGACACTAACCTGACTCAATAGGCCTTTACACAAATGACAGAATGAATGAAGTCCAGTGGGAGAGGCTATGGGAGCCAGCCAGTGTGGAAGGTGATATAAAGATGTTTACGATGTTCTGTATATAATACATAAAAATTCAATTTAAAAATTACCAAAAATAAAATAAACACATTTTACTGCCAAAAAAGAATTACAAGGACATCCCAGAGGGCAAATACTTCGGGCTTGCTTGCTTAACAATGAAAACTAAAAATAAAATAAAAATGAACAGATGGTTTCTGTGTATGAATCTATCTGTTATGAAGCAAAAGTGTTCTCAAAAACATTTCACCTGACTGCATCAGTGGATAACAGAAGCATTTGTACAGACTGAATTCCCTACACAAGGATTGTCTTATTTGGGAGTACAGAATGACTCTGAAGATTAATTAAAATGTTGCATATTATGTCATCTATCTACATGAGAGAAAATTAATCTCAAGAGAAAAATAACTCTCAGTAGTATCAGAACTTTAAAACAAATGTGATAGTGACTTCAGATTCTTTTTCCTTTGTATTTTAAATGATTCCTTTGAATTTCACAAGTATTTTGGGTTTGTTTGTGAGGACAAAGATTTTATTTTCCCATATAAGGATAATGCCAAAATTGAACCAGTTAATAGTACATATTTAGAATAATAATAATAAGCAAACACTACTACAGTTATTATTATTAGTGATAAAATCCATTTTCTTACTTTAAATAAGAAATAGATTTAAAATGACCTAATAAGCTTGGGGAGGCAGCTTAGTAAAATTCTTGCCTTAAATTCATGAGCCCCTGAGATTGATTTGCAGAAACTGCATGTTGGAGAAAAAGTAAGGCATGATGGTATGTGGTTGCCATACCAGAGCTGCAGAGGCAGAGGCAGGAGGAATTATGGGGCTCACAGGACAGCTAGCTTCACCGATTGATGAGATCCAGGCCAGTGAGGGAAAAATCAATCATCAGGACCTGAAAAACAACACCTGTGGACATCCTCTGGCCTGCACAGACTCATTCACAGCTGATTATCCTCACCTGCACACACTGACATAGATGCACACACCTGCACATTAGAGAATAAAGTAGGATACATTCCTTGTATGTAAATCACTTATGAACTTTGTGTCTATTTTTAAGTAATTGATACACTTCTCTAAAATTCTGCTTGATTTGCAGATAATTATTGCTTAAATACGGAGAAACTATAGTTTTCTTTACATAACAGCATAGGTTGGTGCAGACTTTCATACGACTTCAATTATCAAGAGAAAAGCAAGAAATTTATTAATTCATGCCATGCTTAGGCTCTGCTTTTTTGAGAAAGTAGCTCTTTCAAAACAGTGGCTCAGACCTTCACTTAGAATGCTTTTTAAATTTTTTTTCAATGAATACTTTTATCAAATATTTTTTCACTTCATACAAAATATCTTAAAACATCTTATTTATCTTTATATCCCTTCCATTATCTGTATACCCCGTAGCCCCCCACACTGGATTTCATGCATTATTTTATATATGGTAAGGCTTATAGAATCAAGTTTGTGTTCCCAGATATATCTCAGTGCAAGCATATCTGCTCAGCCTACCTAGTCTCTCCCTTAAAGAAGATCACCTCTTCCTCATTCAGCAGTAATTAACTGTCAATAATTCTTCAGCTAAGGTTGGAGACTGTGGCACAGTTCCCCAGTTCTATGCTAAATGTTTAACAAAGACATCTGCTATGCTTTGGATAAATGTTCTTAAAGGTTCATGTTTTAAAATGCTTGATCATTCCACTAAGGGGAACTGCTGGAAACTAGCAGAAGGAGTTTAGTGGGAGGTCTCTGAGTCACCAAACATGACCTTGCAAAGATACTGGAATGCAGTCCCTTCCTCTCATCTTCCCTCTGTGAGGTGAGCAACTTGGCTTCCTGATAAGCACTCTGCCATGATGTGCTGTTCTGAAAAGGATTTAAAGCAACTGAGCCAGTCAGGAATTATAATTTATAAATCATTAATCAAGATAAATATGTTCATTTTATGACTTGATAACCTCAGGTATTTGATACAGTCACTGAAATGTGGCCAACACCAACATATTAAACCAATGACTAATAAAGGGGATACTTAGGCTTCTGCCCAGTTGTCAACCCCTCCTAGAGCCCTTTCCAACCATTGACTTGAACACATTAGCAAGAGCCTCTCTGACTGTGGCTCTTTCTCCACCATGCTGTCCTGCTTTACGTTCTCCATTGCATGTATCAATATTTGAGTTGTTTTTATCAGCTTTGGGTGTCTAGTTTTCAAACCCACACACTTAGAAATGATGCTTTCTGTACTTATTGTAGAATTTAAATTTGTTTTATATTTCATTAAAATCCACATAGATTGAACAAATGAAATAATTTAGCCAATGATAAAACCATTGTCTCCAGATTAAAAGCCAGGTACAACATACAGAATTCCAGGTGGGACGACCAATTGATCACCCATTAGATGGATAGAAATAGATACTACACTAGGAAATTTACAGTTCAGTAGAAGCTTGGAGAAGGTAGTTACACAGAGGAAAAACAATTGCTAAAGTTGAGAAGAACAAATTATGCACAAAAAAGAATTTCAATAACAGTAGGAATTTAATTCAAAATGTTAAATGATTACAATTATTGGTTGTACTGCCCATTTTCAAGTATTACAGTAATTGGTAGATACCACTATTCACATTCCCATTATAATATTAATAAATATTAATTTAAACAAAAATTCAAATACAGTTCTATTGCAAAGGAAAGAGAATTGATGTAGGGGACAATGAAGGAATTAGTAAAATAATGCAAGCACTTTATAGTTAATAAAAGATGCTAACAAATCATATCCATATTGAAAAGAATATAGAGTTATATAAGCATGTAGTTTTAAAAGAATTAATTCTTAGAAGGGTTGAAAATAAGGTACTTTGTATAAGAATTAGGGGGAGGGTAAAAATGAAATGAGGGTTTCTATTCACCTTGCAATGTTATTTGACTATTAAATCTACATACATAATTATTCATTTGTAACTTTAAACATTATAAGAAATTTTAATGAAATAAAACTACTTATGTGAAAGAATATAAAAATTATGCCATGGGGCTGAAGAGGTTGCTCAGTGGTTAAGAACATTGGTTGTTCTTACAGAAGACCCAGGTTTGAATCCCAGCACCCACATGGCAGCAAACAACTGTCGGTAACTCTAGTTCCAGGCGATCCAATGGGCTTTTCTATCCTCCGTGGGCATTGCACAACATGGGTGTACTTACCTACATGCAGGCAATACATACATACACATAAAATAAAAATAATAAAATATTTAAAAAATTATACCAGGACACAAATGAATGTATTGGAACTTGTGATGTTTAATACTGCATCAACAAATGAGATCATTCCATCCTGTAGAAACAGACCGCAGTTTCTCAGAAAAATCACAGGTATCCATCAGCATTGTATAATGCTGACATGAGTTGTCTCAGAATTTCATTCCACGTCTTCTGACTGAAAAGTCAATATCATAAATGTTGATAATCACTCTGAGAAGGAAGAAATCATCCACCAGAAAGCAAGCAATCGAGCAGTGCCAAACAGAGAAGGAATACATGTGGGTTCTGCTATAGCTCATTTTCCACAAACAGCCAGAAATTCAAGGGGGTAGGGAATGAATACATGCTTTCCCATGCAGAAACTGCAAAAGATCTTACAAAATGTTGAATAAGGTAAGGGATAATCATGAGCATATGAACTTTCCTCATCGGGTTTTATTTTATGTGTTTGTATTTTCAAAAATAAACTTTGTATTGTTTCATTCCCTGTGGCTCAACCATATTTTAATTCTCCATCTACATTATTTCCTATAATATAAAAAATGCCTGGAAAAAAACCTTTAATCATAGCACTCAGGAAGCAGAGGCAAGAGGAACTCCATGAGATCAAGAACAGCTTGGCCTACATAGGGAATTTCAGAACAGCTGGTTTATGGAAGATCCTGTCAGTGAAAAAGAAAGAAAGAAAGAAAAAGAAAGAAAGAAAGAAAGAAAGAAAGAAAGAAAGAAAGAAAGAAAGAAAGAAAGAAAGAAAGGAAGGAAGGAAGGAAGAGAGAATGAAAAAGAAAGAAAGAAAGAAAGAAAGAAAGAAAGAAAGAAAGAAAGAAAGAAAGAAAGAAAGAAAGAAAAAGAAAGAAAGAAAGAAAGAGTTAGAGTAGCAAAAGAAAGAAAGAAAGAAAGAAAGAAAGAAAGAAAGGGAGGGAGGGAGGAAGGAAGGAAGGAAGGAAGAGAAAGAAAAAGTGCTGTGAGAGGAAAAAAATGGTAATTTTTCAGAAAAACATATTCTTCCTGGAGAGCTCTTTGCTTATTGCTTCTTTCACATCTTTATTCCTAAAGCTATAAATCATGGGGTTCAACATGGGGATGAACGTGGTATAGAAAACAGCAACCATTTTGCCTTGTTCCACAGATTCCTTTGATGGGGGCCTGAGATACATAACAAAGAGAGTTGCATAAAATATGATGACAGCTGTCAGATGGGAGCCACAGGTGGAGAAGGCTTTGCGCTTGCCTTCTGTGGAGCCGATTTTCAGGATAGCAGGAAAAATATAGAGGTAGGAAGTAAGGATAATGAGCAGAGAAAGGGACAGGTTTAATCCAGCCACCACAAACATTGACAGTTCTTTGTGGTAGGTGTCAGAACAAGCCAGCTTAATCAGGGGAGGGTCAGCACAGTAGAAGTGATTGATTTTATTGTGGCCACAGAAAGCCAGTTTGTAGGTCCACATGGTCTCCATGAGGCCAGTGAGTGCGCCATACACATAAGGTGCTGTGATGAGGGATGTGCAAACACTCTTGGACATCTTGCTGCCATAAAGCAAAGGGTTGCAGATGGCCAGGTACCGATCAAAGGCCATCAGAGCCAGGATATACATCTCAACATGGACCAGGGAAATGAAGAAGTAACACTGGACCAGGCATGCAGGGTAGGAAATGGTTTTCCTCTCTGAAAGGAAGTTCTCCAGCATTTTTGGAGTCACATTGGAGGAGAAGCAGAAATCCACAAAGGATAAGTGGCTCAGGAAAAAATACATAGGTGTGTGGAGCCGGGCATTGATGTGGATGAGGACGATTATGCCCAGGTTCCCTGCCAGCGTGATCAGGTAAATGGCCAGAAACAGCACAAAGAAGAGGATCTGCAGTTCCAGGTGACTGGTCAGTCCTAGGAGAATGAACTCAGTCACAGAGGTGAAATTTCTCTTCATGGTAGCCTTCAGTGAGAAGTGGGAACTTTACATTAGTCCAGACATTCAGGAAAAAGACAACTATTTTTATACTTTCTTAGAAATTTTATTTCTACAGTTTTTATCACCTTATTTTATATCAGTAGAATCCATAATGAATATTTTTCAATATTAATAAACACATTCATACTGGCTACTATGTGTCAATATCTTTGAGCTTCTGGTCTTTTTAAATTTTGCCTTAGAAATTGTTTTACAGACAGGGATTCACTGGTTAGTCCTGGGTATCCTGGACTTACTATATAGACCAGGCTGACCTCAAACTTACAGAGATTCACTTTCTCTGACTCTTGGGTGCTGGGATCAAAGACATGTCCCAGTAAGCCTGGCCTTGATCTGATCTTTTTCTATTTTTTTTGTCTCGAAATTATTAATCGTCCTATACCATAAGTAGAATTCTTACCTATTACCATTTCTGATTTATATTTTACTCTTTAACCTCAGACCAATTTTCAGTTCTAGTTTTGGCCACTCACTGTGAACAGAAATATGGAGTGCTCACTACATATCTAAATGAATATTTCAGATAATTGTACTAAAAGGAGAAATGATCAGATGCTTCATTTTTAATATTTTATTTATTATTTTTATTTTATGTGTATACGTGTATTACCTGCATGTAGGTAAGTGCCCGTATCATGCAATGCCTACAGAGGGCAGAAGAGATTGTCAGATCCCCTGGAACTGGAGTTACAGACCATTGTTAGCTGCCATGTAGGTACTGGGATTCAGACCTGGGTCTTCTGCAAGAACAACCAGTGTTCTTAACCACTAAGCTATCTCTCCAGTCCAGATATTTCATTTTTTAATAACATTTACTTATTCTAGATGATGCCATATAAAATCTCTCCAATTGTTTGGTTTAAAGACAGAAGGTGGTAAATTAAAATCGTAGCTTATTTGTAAAATATAAAAGGTCAGTGTGCTCTATTTTAGAATTAGAGAAAACAAAATACTTCAAAAGATGAACAATTAATTACAAAATCCCACATTAAACTTTATGGAAGTGTTTCTCTAGATAACAGTAAAGTTTGGACAAGACAATCATTGAGATATCCAACATGGATTGTGAAATAAAAGGGATTTAGTTTTTCATGTTAGTCTTTAGTCATGACAGTGAACACAAGAGCAAGGTGATGGTCTAAGACATAGACTAGGATTTCAGAGTCTGAAACACAAGCTGACTCCACACCCACAATCACACATATATATTCTTTTCAGAGCAAGAATTAGTCTGTATAGAATAACTCTTGGTAAAAGGAAAGTAAAACTAAAGCCAGCAAAACAAAACAGCAACAAAACAACAGGATTTTCTACTTATTGTTTCATTTTAAAATAAGATTTTCTACTAGATGTTTTTTTCTGAAATACTAAAGGAAGGTGGGGTTTCCATCTATTCCTTCCTGACATCAGCTTCCCCTTTTCCTCTCTTCTTCCACCCAATGGCTGTGATAAGGTCATGGAACTGAACCACCCCACATGACAGAGACAAGAGCTACAACTCTACAGAATACAGAAAAAGGTACGTGACTGAACTGTACCTCTTACGATCTTGTCAGAACTGAACCAGGACAGATTTTTATAAGAAATAATCGTCTGACTTGTCCCAGTGGTTCTTATTTACTTTTGTTTTAACAGGTATTGTAACAGGTATTATGTGACTTATACAACCACTGTAGGATCAGTGATCAAAATTTCTATAAGGCTGCCTATATAGAAGAGAAGTCATATTAAATGAGTACTGTTCATTAGAATTTAGCTATTTCTTCAGACACTATTCCCAATGAATATGTCATGAAACCAACAATACAGTGATAATCCCTATATATCTCTGATGTCAGCTTCTGGAGACCTTTAAAATTGCTTCAAACCTTTTCACACTCAGTTCATGGCATTTATGATCCAGACTGTTCAGAAATACATAGATACACATAATACTACAACACCGAGGACAGCAAATGGAAGATGGGTATATGTGCAAAAAGAGTAAAAGTTGAAGCATTAGATAAATGAGTTCTTTAAATCCCTAGCAGCGCATGAACCTCAGGGAATTTTGTACTTCCTGTCCTTGTCAGTCAGGTTTAACAATCCTCTTTGCTTTCTCTTGACTCTTTCCTCCCTATTTCTTACCTCTACCTTTTCTCTGCTGAAATGATCTCAGAAACTTCCTATGCTTGCTTCCACATTACTCTGAGCCATTCACTTGTTCCTGGTTCCTAACCGCCAACTCAAGGTACATCTTTCTTTGTGTGTCCAATGAGGTGTTTTGTAAACTAAAATGCTTTTTTTGAGACTGGGTCTCAGTATATTCCCCAGGCTAGCCTTGAACGCACAGTCTTACCCTTCATTCTCCCTAGTGTTAGGATTGTGTATGTATGCCATTATTGCTGAACCCCCTTGGTTTAATATTTAAAATGCACATTCTCACATATTGTGTCTTGGAAGTATACATGTGAAAATAAGGTGTCTACACAGTTATTTAACTACCTGGTCATACATGATTCCTAGAAAATGTGAGTTTATATTCTATGAAAAGCAACGTAAAACAGAAAATAACAAATGAAGTCTTTGGCTGTTTCCTAAAACTTACCTATAAAGAAGAAGGGAAAAGAAATGGGCCTTCAAGGCTAATCACTGAGGAAGAGGCTTGCTTATATTCATGATGTAGACTTATGTTCCCTATAGCATTCAAACAAACAATAGCTGAAGCTGAAGCCATCAGTCTCTCCAATTACAGTTCCCTAAAGACAGCTCAGGTACATTTAACCCTGGGATTAGGAAGAACTTAAGCTTCTCTTCTGGGTCTTCTTCATCTCTCTTGGTAATGAGGTGATGACTACATACTGCTTTACTGCATTAACTGGCATTGCTTAATCTTAGGACCACCATCACACATCAGAAGGAAAAGAAATAATCTATGACTAATGTAAGAATGAGCTGCATTCTGAACCCACCGGGTGTGGATAACTGGGACTTAATGGACAAATTCACTCTATTATTCACTCTATTATTTGAATCTTGATCATCTTCTCTATAGTAAACCAACAGAGATCAGGGATTCCCCTTCAATCACAGTAAAGATTTCTTTCTACCCATGTTTTGTCAACCCAACCTAAAAGCATTAGAAACTTTACCAAGTGTAGCTACATGCAGAATATTCTCTGCCTAGGGAGTCTAATATCAATAAATTTTGTCTAACTTTAATTTATCTTCCTTCTACTACTATTCCATACCCTAAAACCTATTCTAATACATGTTTCCCTGATTTATGCTTAGACAGATAGGAAATGTCAAACAGTTCTTTAGAGTGTGTTATGTTTCCTGATTAGTTGCAGTGTGCCTCTCCTGTGAGAATCTGCTGAGAACTATTTTATAACTTCAGTAAAAAGTTAGAGCTTATTAATATAATTTATTCAAAAAAGGTCATGAACACATTCACAATCTGTGCCTAGCCCTGTACAAATTGCAGCACAAAATAGATTATCTTAGACTTGTAGCAGGAGGACTCCAAAGATGGTGCGGACCCAGAGCCCTGGGATTCAGAGAGAATTCACTTCACTTCTCAGTCCACAAATAGCCCACCAAAAGGAGCCCACACCTCTGTACCCTGCTTTCAAGCCCAGTGACTCCTGACAGACTATGTGGCACAGATGAAACGGAAAACAATATGCTGACTAAAGGGACTTGGGGGTGGAGCAAAGGGAAATATAAGGCCTACCCCCTCTTGCATTAAAGGAGCCTACAGCACCTCGCCTAGTGCTTGCTTCTACCCAACTCCTGGGGTCTGTGTGTCATGACTCCGCGCCTCTTGCCCCCCCAATCGGCAGGGGACCCGATCCAGGTCAGGGTCTTCACAGCTGGTCTGAGGAGAACCCTCAATACCTGGCACCTGAACAGGGACTCCTGCCCACGGTGTTGGCAACACCCAGAACCTCGGTTCGTTTGGTAAGTAGGCCCCTGGATTTGTCTGTTTCTTCTGCTGCTCAAGGGTAAGCGAGTAGCCCATTCCTCTGTCCCCTCCACCCTGTCTGTCATCTTTATTGTTGGACCAGTTTGTTAGATCAGGGAGGCGCAGTCCACCACGTGGTACCAAAGCCCACGTCGGCACCTCCTCCCCTCTCAGCTCATCCCGGTGAGTTCACATAAGGGCTGATCCACCCCAAACTCAGAGCCCAGGCTTCTGGTCACCCTGTCGCCTGTCCTGGAGACACCGTGTGAGCACATGGCTGGAGGTGTCACAACCTCCAGAAGTCCTTCACTGAGCACAAGACATTTGGATCCGATACACCTTTACATATCAGGTTGATTTACATCTGAGTGGCTCACAGTGCTTTGTTTCCTTTGTGCCCTCTTGGTAATCATCCTTGTCTTCTATTTTTGTGGCGATCTCCCCTTTGTGAGGCCCTCCCACAATGGGCAATTTACCACCACAATACAGGGAATCACAAACGGCAGTACTCAAGGTGCTCCTTAAAACCAGAGGGTTGAAAGTTAAACCAAAAGATATTGAACACTTTGGGCATGAAGCCATTAATTTAGCTCTGTGGGTCTCCCCTGGAAACATGTGGAACCCTGACACATGAATGCAGGTCCTCTTCCTGCCCCAAAAAAGGGAGGTCGGGTCAAGGATCACTCCCCCCGCATCGTTTGTACTGATCCTCTTAGCCATCATTGCTAGCCTTAAATCCTCATCTCCTGAGGAAGTCATCTCGGTCCACAACAAATGCTGCCAGGAGCAATCTAATGTAGATCTGGCTATTACCTTGACCCCAGACCTCCCAGACCTGGAGGTGGATGCAGCCTCTGTGCCCACTTCCAATAAGGAAGGAGCTCCTTTGCCTATATCTCAGGATACTCTCCTAGAGCTACCATGCTCCGAAATTCCCCTGCCCTGATACCCGTGGAAGGAGTTACTCTCTCCTCCCCAATAACCATCCCACCCCTTCCCCTGCTAACGTGCC